CTCTGATTGGTTGTTTTCGCTCAGGCCCAGTGGATTCTTGCAAATGCCATTAGGAGCACTAGGAGGACCCAGAGGAGCCTGATTTTTCATAGGCTATCTGTCTCATGTCCTACTGCCAGAAGTTTCAGCAAATATGACAAAAAGTTATTTTTATAAAAGTTACCTACTGCAGCTTAAATAAGGGTGAATACTTCGTGAGTAGACTACATTTGTGGCTATTCTTCATCATCTGCAAATTCATTAGTGGAAAATCTTTTTACAGAGAGGTGTAAGTTGCTACTGGGCCTATGAGACTAATAACAGCTGTAGCCATCTGGAATTTATTAAGATAATTGCAGGTTATTGTGGGTAGTGTGGTCCGTATATATAACTCCAGTGTGTCTACGTCTCAATAGTACCTTATGTCATGGCAAATGCTACAGAAAGAAAGAAAAACTCTATTATTAATATGTATTAAAAACAGCACAAAGGAAAGAGCTTTATGAAACTGAATGTCTCAGGTAGAGGACAGTGTGTTTAACGGGACAGGGCGTTGTTTGAGGTAAAACTGAGCAGAAAGGGGGTTTTAACATCCAAGACACACAGTTACACAGTGAGCATGTATATATTTTGATTCACCAGAGAACTGCACTTGGTGGCAGAGATGCAGCAGAGTGTCTATCATTATGAGTAACCCTATTTAATAACAGCCAGATTCTGTGGTCAGCCTCTTGATCCTGTCTCTGACTTTGACACAGTCCAGTCAGCTTCAATAATGCATGCTGTTTCAGGGACTTGGCTTTGTTTCTATGCTGATTTCCCAGAGGCAGCACAAACAAGATAAAGATTAAAAAAACACTAAAATGGTGAGTTCACAGCAGGCCAGCATTGTTCTTGGCAGACCATGTTTCCTCTGACCACTGGAAAAGAGTTGAACTAAATCTCAAATATCTGATTAGCATTCCAAAATTTGACAAGAAAAGCCCATCTGAACTAGTCAGATTTATACTACAGGAAAGATCTGATCTAAAATCCTTTAGTTCTTTTAAAAAAAGGCAACATACAATGCACTCATGCAAGGTGTTACCCATTGGCTGCAGGATGTATTTGGTGTTCCTGAAGATGCAGTAACTGAACCAACATGATTAAAAATCATGTTTATGTATTTGCAGCGTGGAGTTTGATAGCAGAAAATGTAGATGAAGATGATGATTTTTTTACCCTTAGTGGCTGTAACAGAATGCAGACACAAGTAGGCATGGGACAATATTAACATATCATGTCACAATTATCTTGGACATAATAATTGTGATACACGATATTATTATGATAATCATGAAAATATACTTCCTACCTTTAATATGGCACTAAACATACTGGAATCACTTTACATTTAGTTAAGGAATACATATTTATTACACCACAGATAGGCACCTCATCTCTCTGTTTGTTATTTTGGAATCCATACTATTTCCACACATCCGGTTTAACTTTTTGTGGATAAACCGAGCCTTCAGCAATGGTGACGGGCTTAGGATTTTGGAATGACTCCCCCTTGTCCCCTTGTTCAAAATAAATCAGGAAATCAATATTGGACTGTATGTGGGTGAGCTTTTTAAAGTCAAGCCATGTGAAGATAGTCACAATTATCAAGATAATGGAAGTTCACCACATTAAAATTATATGTGTTTTTTATCGCCATATGCAATAATATCATTTATCGTCCCATCCCTAATCACAAGACCAGTCTCACTTTCCTTTTGTCCTTCTTCAGTCTTGACCAAGAAATTATTTATCAACAAACTAGGAAAGAAATCAAATGTAGAGGAGACAGAGGAGTAAAAGCTCTTGAGATTTACTCAAGACTTCTGTATAATTCAGATTTCACTGATGTTGTCCATCACACAGTTTCCATGGAGATGGGCTTTGGCTGGCAGAAACACAACTTCAGAAACTATCAGCCACTACTAGGAACTCATTAAGTGGGGGTGCAGTGAACAACTGTTACTGTGATACAGGAAAATGTTAACCATGATTATATTTGGTTGAGTGCTTCTTGGTAGTGTGGCACATTACACTGTCATCAGATGAGCTCATGTTTAGATCAGTGCAATTATTTCATCTGAAACTGTGATAAATAGAACCTCATTCAAATCAAAAAGTTGTAATAGTAATTTTTGTTTCAATACAATAACAAGACAAAGGAAGCTGATGATTTGCAGTGACAACATTTAACACAAACACTGGTGTACAGTCCGGTTCAATGTGCATTTTCATTCTGTGCTCTGTTGTTGACTATAAGTGTTGTTATCTCTCAACCCAGGAATGCATGGTGGATGAGGACTGTGGTGACCTGAAATACTGCCTGTATGAGATAGAGAACTCCAAGTGCCTCCCCTGTATACCAACAGATATGGTGGGTATTCAGTCAGCGTTGTCTTTTGTGATTACTGGTTCAGTACGATGTAATATATATGAGATTTAAAACCCTAACACAGCAGTAAACTGTTTGCTATGTAAAGATATAATGGAGTGGTGGTGTCCTGAGCAGAGAATGACGTTGACGCACTCCCTTTGCCTGTGTTTCTAATGCAGCCTCGCTGTGCTTTGTTTACAAATCCGGTCTGGCCACATGAGTCCCTCCATGTACCATTAAGGAGAGCGACAGAAAATGTTGTTTTTCTTATCTATGTCAGTGAATTAAGGATTTATTGCAACCAAACCAAAATTGGTGATTGTTGGGACAGTGGAAAGACTAAAGTTATTTTTGGTGAGTTTTATTTTGTTTCTGTCTATTTTGAATGAAGTTATGAGGAGGTAAAATTACTCTTTCTGTTAATGGAATCTGGTGGCGAGTGAGATTCTGGTTAAATCAAAGATATATCTTTACAACGTTGGTAATTGTTGGAAAGACTAACAAATGTTTCGGTGAGTTGTATTTTGTTTCTGTCCAGTTTGAAATGTGCTTTACGATTATCTGCAAGGTAAAATGATTGGTTTTGTTTATGGAGTCTGTTGGGCCGTAGCACATTTGTCTTTGAACTAAGATGTTGGTGTTCTATAGTGTGACACATTTGCAGAGAATTTTGTATATAACATTTAAAGCTATATTGATCAACAACAAAAAAATTCAACCATGGATCAAATCGCTGTGTATAATTCCTCGTTCCTCCTAAGCTTTATGTGCCGTTTTAGCGTTGTTGAGCTCATGTTTTTGGTGTGAAGCAGCTTTGTTGTTTGATTCAATCTCACTGGTCTCAGAAAATTTTTCCACGTACATCAAGCAGCTGTTTTCAGCTAAACAGCTCTGATAAACCATGAAACAATGGATGATGGTACAAAAGTACATCAACAATGAATGCAACAACAGCCCACATGTACCTTACATGCTTATAGCATATCTGAATGTGTGTGTCCCCCTCTTAGCCCTGCACTAAAGATGAGGAGTGTTGCTCAGAGCAGATGTGTGTGTGGGGCCAGTGTACAGTCAATGCCACCAAAGGAACAGAGGGAACAATCTGTCAGGGTCAGAGTGACTGCAGGATGGACCTCTGCTGTGCCTTTCAACGAGGTGAGCACTCTCAGGGACTTGCACAAAAGGAGAGAGACAGACTTACTGAACCTGTCTCGGTTAATGCCATACTCATATATTTATAGTGCGAGCTCAAACACATGCTGTAGGGTATGTTATTTTGAGTCAGGTCTGTTTAGCTTATTTGTCTTTGCACGTCCCTCAAATAAGCTTCAATTTTTCTTTCTTTCATTTTTCCATAATCTAACTTTCTCTCATTTGTATCTATTGCATCCACTAGAGTGTATTATATTTTATTTTACAGCAGCACTGTTTCTTCTCATACCCTGTTTGTTTTTTTCGGTTCCAAGTTAATTTTGATGCTGCTACTACGGTTATTTTAAAGTGAATTCAGGTGAACTGACCTTCCTAAAATACAAAAATACATATTTTTCTCGATGACCACTTTTTTTTTTTTACAGTGATGTCATGGTGTCCTGGAGTACACTTGTACATCACTGCAGCATGGTGGGAAATTAAACCACCGGAGGTCAGCAAAAACAAAATCTTTAGGGGGTGTAAAGTTGATCTTTACAGTTTCATATCTTTCTTTCATGACTTTCTAGCTTCAAGCACCAAGCTCATACTGTAACAAGCCTACCTCCATATACAGCACATGGTCAAATATACTGTATAAAGGCCATCCAGTCTCAAATGGAAATTAAAAGGAAGACATTAATTTTCAATGAACACAGAGAAACGCTGCACTTTCAGCAGATGAATATGAAAACATCCTTCTAGTGTCAAAGTCTGCACATACATTATTCTGCACAGTGAAGATCAAACATCACTCTGTAGCAACAAGATGAAAAACATATTTCTGAGTGCAGGGGGACTGTTAGTAATCATCTCTGGTGCTCCATATAAAGAAATTAAAAATGTGCTACTTCCTCACGGATTTATTTAACGTGTTAATAAGTAATAACTCTATTAAAATAAAACTGAATAGAGACATTCATCTGAATGTCTGTCAAAGTGGACCTGAGTATCTGCTAGGGGCTTTATATTTTTCAGATTGTGTGTAACTGGGGCAGCGATACAGTAGCCACTGTGGCACATTATTCTTCTCTCTGCTGCATCCTCCAGAGCTGTTGTTTCCAGTGTGTAATCCCAAACCAGAGAAAGGGGAGTCCTGTTGGAACCACCCCAACCTGCTGATGGATATGCTGGCCTGGGACCAGGAGGGTCCCCGTGATCACTGCCCCTGTGCCGACGACCTCCAATGCCAACCTCATGGGTGAGAGCAAACATAGTACATATTAACACTTTAAATCCCCAGAAAGAGAGATAAGGTTTATAACAGAATATAACTGCAGTTTGTCTAAATTTCTTTTTTCCCCTCCCACAGGCGTGGATCTGTTTGTGGAGAGTAGTACTGGAGATGAAGAGGAACTTATACATAACCCTCTCCGGAAGCTATACTAACATCCTTGCTGAGCACTCACCTGCTGATCAACAGTTAAAAGAACAGGATGTTGCTTCAGGAAGGGACTTGCACTGTGTTATTTATGCCCTACTACCAATGTGTATTATATATCATGAAGCAAATAAAAGACTTGTTTTTAGTTTTGACTGAGAACCAAAGAAAGCGCCATTGGGGTCTTTTCAGAATTAAAGGTGGGCTTCATTTCTTTTTTGCTGGGTGGATGAAAACTACAGTAAAACATAGCTCTGACCAGTAGAGGGCGAACGTTTGTCTCTTTTCTGTGTTTCAGGATATGTAACCTGAGAAATGACACACACACACTCACACACACACATATAAATACATTCATGGAAACAGGAAATATTCAGGATGAGTCTGATAACCACATGACTGCAGTAAAGACTGATCTCTCTCTCTCACACACACACACAGGAACAAGAAGCTCTTTGATTTCCGTGTTAAGATAGATTTTGGATTCATCCTCAGTGTTTTTCCACAGAGAGACTGAATTTTTGTCCGTGCTTTGCTGCTTTTATTCTTCACATTTTTAATTTTTGTTATTTTTCCTGTTGATCTTGTTTCTTTTCAGAGGCGTGTATATTTAGAATATATAGGTTTGTATTTGCATTCTCATGCAAAATATCTTTAACAACATTTCCTGTGGGGAAAAAAAAGATCCTGCACGTCTGTTAACAGTGCTCACACCCTGCTCTACCATGTGGACACCTGTGGAATGAACTTGTAAAGTGGGAGAGGCACTTGGTTTCAGGAGTATGTTTCCTACTACAAACATGGGAGTCTCTTGAACTACTTTGTGATTCTGTAGATTTTAGTTACAGTGATTAAATGTTAAACCTGTTTAACCTTTGTTCCCAACTAGTCATGTTGTTTCTGTCAGTTTAGATAGTGCCTCATCCACCTTTTCTATATTTATACTTAATGGTTTTTGCCCAAAAACATGGGATTAGCATGAAGTGGGCTTGTTTGCAAAGGGTTGTTGGTACCCATAGAACCATTTTTCATTCAGATATTTTTAAGGTCAGAGATTAACAGACGGGTTTGAAAATGGCCATGGCAGTTTTTCCATTGAACAAAATTTAACCTAACTTTGGAGCGTTATTTGGTCCCCTTCCCAACATGCTAGCACGGTGGTACCACTGCTTGCATTAGTTCATCTAGTTTGATTTGATAAAAGTATCTTCACTCTAGCTCTGGGAACACCATGAGTATTTCTCTAGATCTGCCCCTGGGATTGCAGCATGGTAACTCAATGGTAAAAGGTCCTTATTTAAAACCCCTTATTGTAAGAAAACATATGTGCTGGTTTTCCCCCCATGAAGACATATATTGTCTATTAGGTATACAACTGCCCTTGCCCTCAAGGCTGGATTACCAACCATACATAGTGAAACCCATAATTTGGGTCTCTGTATACACATTTCACATAGGTTTAAAGACGTCAATAGGGGCTAATTAACAAATGTTTGCCCTGGGTGCTCCAAATCTTTGAATAAAGACACTGATATATCACAAATGGAGTGGATATGTGAATGTCCATGGCTTATGTATCAAGTCTTGCTGCTACCATGGGTTCTCTCAACACACAAACCCACAACATAGGTTAATAATCCAGACCACTTTATTTATTTCGCAGCCATACACACTATTCACACAGTCCTTAGCCTGCTTCAAAAGTCCATGAAGGTTTGCTCCAGTTGTCCCAATCCTTCCCCACACCTCTCTCTCTCCTGCAGCTGATTGTAAACCACACCCTCCTCCTTATGTGCATCATTTATCAGTCCCTCCAGAAAAATGCGATTATGCGATCGC